TCTCGTCCCTTCACCTGATGAAGGCCGCTTGTGTTGTGGCCGAAACGTCGTGATTTTTGTTATTTTATTTTTTACCTACGTGACTTTACCCAATAGAACCAAAGAGTATCTCTCTGTCCGTCTGTCTCTGTTCGCCTGTCTCTCTCTGCCTGTCTCTCTGTCTTTGTCGTCTCTCTCTCTGTGTTCCTCTTGTCTGTGTCTGTCCGCCTGTCTTGTCTGTGTGTGTCTATCAGCGTCTGTCCCACCGTAGTCAACGACTGTCAGTAGCAGCACGCGCCCGTTCAGCTCCCACGGCTACACGCCACTCAAACTTGCTCCCAACACAAAGACAAAGATCCCCCGTTATAGCCTGCACAGAACGTCATGGCAAGTGCTGTTAGTGAGCACCTAACATAAAGACGAAGATGCCCTGTATAGCCTTAACAGACTGTAAGGCAAGTGGTGTTAGCGAGCACCTATTAAGGGTGGGACGGCACACGAGGGGGTGGGTGGCCAACACCACGCCCGGCCGCCTTTGTCTCCCTAGTGGCGATGTTTACACACCGCACCGGGTACTCGTTTGAGGCCGAGTCGACGTAGGGGAGGCTCAGGACCGGTTCAGAAAATCGTCACTGGCGGTGTTGGCCACGAGCGGGAATGGAACTCGGCTGGTCGGGTGCGGAGCGCAGCGCTCTCCACGTCACTGCCGCTCCCCTTCTGTCAACAAACTTGAACTCTGACCCCGCTCTCTGACGTCACCGCTCAGCGTGACCTCAACGGCGTCGAACGCCAGGGGAGAGGTGTGCCTCGCTAGTGACGTCATGTCACCGACAGCGGCGCTCTTGAGCGTGACGTCACCTCCGCTCGGCCGCTGCCGATAACTGTTCCAGTGCCAATCCTTATTTGGGCAAAGCCACGCCCGGTGACTGGCGGCTCATTAACATAATGTGTTCGTGAAAGTCGTCGCGAGTTTTTTGCGACGGGATCGGCACCCACTCCCCACCCCTCCACGTATTGGCCGAGCTCATTAGCATAATTTATTAAATTTTAGATCCTCTCTTTGTGGGAGGGGAGTGTATTGTACCACGCAAGTGACGTCATGTCACCTGCTATCGCGTGACGTCACGAGGTAACAGGAAGCTGCCGCTCTGCGCGTGCACTGAAATCCGAGGTGAGAAATTCTCATCGCGGTTGTGGTGGTTGTGGTGGTGGTTGTGGTGGTGGTGGTTGTGGTGGTGGTGGTTGTGGTGGTGGTGGTTGTGGTTGTGGTGGTGGTTGTGGTGGTGGTGGTGGTGGTTGTGGTGGTTGTGGTGGTGGTTGTGGTGGTTGTGGTGGTGGTGGTGGTTGTGGTGGTGGTGGTTGTGGTTGTGGTGGTGGTTGTGGTGGTGGTGGTGGTTGTGGTGGTGGTGGTGGTGGTTGTGGTGGTGGTTGTTGTGGTGGTTGTTGTTTACCGAGGTAGAGCCTCGCTCTCTCTCTCGTAGGGATGTCAACTGAGTAGCAGCGAGCATGGAAGCGATGTCCAGGTTGGAATTTTACAACGCGGGGCCTTGCCTCCTGCCCTCGCCTGATCGCGTTTGCTTCAATTCTCTTGCTAAATTTAGCAATAGTAATAGGTGTTTACCCTTTTAACTGGCACAAAAACTGACACCTTTATACAAGGGGATCATGTTTGCAATAACCATAACACAAGCAGTCAAAAACGCAAACAAAAAGAGACAACTCTGATAATGACTTGATTCGAAGCTTTGGTGACCGCAGGAATTACTCTCTAAGAAAAGCCGTCTCTGGTGTGGACCAATCAAATTCAAGGACAGTGCCAATATTATTATTAGAGTTGTCTCTTTTTGTTTGCATTTTGACTGCTTGTGTTGTGGTTATTGCAAACATGATCCCCTTGAATAAAGGTGTCAGTTTTTGTGCCAGATAAAAGGGAAAAAACCTATTCCTATATCTTGCTACTGGCAAAGGAGGTCTCATAATGTAAATGCTCACCCCGAGCCCTCAATACTCTGATAGTGCGCTGTTTTTGAGTTGTACGCCTTTTGGCGTCTTCTGGTCCAACACCAATGGAGACTAGGCTCTAAGAAAAGCTGTCTTGGGTGTGGACAAATCAAATTCAAGGACAGTGCCAATATTATTATTAGAGTTGTCTCTTTTTGTTTGCATTTTGACTGCTTGTGTTGTGGTTATTGCAAACATGATCCCCTTGAATAAAGGTGTCAGTTTTTGTGCCAGTTAAAAGGGTAAAACCTATTCCTATATCTTGCTACTGGCAAAGGAGGTCTCATAATGTAAATGCTCACCCCGAGCCCTCAATACTCTGATGGTGCGCTGTTTTTGAGTTGTACGCCTTTTGGCGTTTTCTGGTCCAACACCAGTGGAGACTAGGCTCTAAGAAAAGCTGTCTCGGGTGTGGACCAATCAATTTCAAGGACAGTGCTGTTGTCTATGTAGGTTATGAAAAATTGATGAAAATAATGAAAATTAATTGGAATTTGGAAATTGCATAATTTATCTGAAATTACATAATTTTGTGTAATTATGCGCATAAATTACGCTAATTCGAGAGATAATCTTAATAATTATGTGAGTGGGTATGGTTATTATAATGCAGGTCGTTATGATAATCGGGCCTAGCCTCGGTAACGAAGGTTGGGTTATCAATTGGAACAATGCAATTAATCGTAAGCAGTTATGCAGGTGTTGTGAGCGTGAATGAGGGAGTCAACTCGGCTCCGTTGTTAAACTCCGTATTATCAATAAGGATACGATTATTCTCGCTTAAACGTTTATTGATCATGTGTGTTAGTGTGCTTATGATAGGTTCCCCAGAGTTCAGATCTCAATCGCAGAACAACTATGCAGAATCACGGAAAAAAATCACACACAATCTTACTGCTTTAATCAATTTATTTTCTAGCTAAACTTTAATTTTTGGATAATATGAGAACTCTCAATCTCGGAATTTCAACACAGCATTAACACGGTAACCATCACGATTGCGTTGTTTCACTTCGATAACGGCACCTGTGGTTAATTCCCGACGCGTAATGCAATTAATCGGTTGTTGAGAGAGATTAAAACATGCATACTATTCTACCAAACCCTTAACTCTATCATATGCAAATTCGTATACTTGAATTGTTACACTACACAGCACTTGGTCATTGATCATACGCGACCCTTAATGCATATTCTTGTCACGTTTTTAAACAGTAGGACGATTGATTATTATGCTACGCTGCTCATGTGAAAATACACTCAAACCATTATTATTCCTAAAGGCACAAATATGCGTTCATAGATTCGTCATGTTCGTTCATGGATATCAGCAAGATTATGCAATAAAAAAACGAACGACTCAAATACTCCCAAGTGACCGTATCCACGCAATGATTTCCTTTGAGATTCTTATCTTGGACCAATCTTTTAATTAATTGCGTCCGGATCCCTGACAGGGAAACCGGTTGCACACGCTATTCACCCCTCCGTGAGCGGCGCTCCGTTGAAGGTGCCAAGAATTAATCCGTATTGATGGATCAGTTGGTAACTTTTGCGATTAGAAATACAGCCCCAACAAAATATTAACGAGGAAAATTACGAACACTCTTATGAACGACGGATTGTTCACTCGGTCGTTGCGAGGCTCTCACAGTCACGGATGGTTTAATGACTTGAGGTTCTCGGATTTTGTTAATGACCCGTGTGTGTGTTGAGTGGTATGAATGATGAAAGAGTAGGCCAATGTTCAGAATCGATTCTTTGCGTCAAGCGGACGTCTGGTTTGTCGTGTAGTGGGGGGCAGTGTATCATACGTATCAGTTGATTCTCGTTTCGGTGGTTGGTTCGGACTCGGCTGACGTCGGTTGACGAGTTGACAGGTTGATACGTTAAATTTTGATTTAAAGCTTTCGTGACTGCAGTAATTCATATTCTTAGTTATTTCGGTAAAGTCACGTTGAAGGGAAACAACAAAATAATAAAATATATATATAAAACAATAAAAATTCTCACGACGTTTCGACCATAACACAAACGGTCGTCTTCAGGTGTGTTGGTTTGCATAAATTTATTTTTAAACGGTGCATTTATTTATTTATAAAAAACGTTAGCGCCACGTGCAGCGATTTGGCAGTTTATTTAGGACTAGTCCATCTATATTCTGAAAAGAGGAGGGGGGAGACGAATTTTTTTTGTATGCTGTCTGAAAGCCACTATAAGCGTGAACAATCAATTAAGACCTGAAATGGTTTATCAAATCTTTCCAATGATTGCTAAGATAGAATCCATCTTCTCGGTTGAAATTGTCTCTGTGCTTGTATATGTGGATAGCCTCATGAACGAATCTCTCATGGTAGCCAGATGGCTTACAAAGAACCTCTGTCTTGGAGAAGTCAATGTCATGTGAGCCTACTGAATTATAACAATGATCTGCCACGGCCGAGGTGTTGGTCCTACCGTGTTTAAGGTCTGCTTTGTGTTCACGAATGCGGTCCGAGACATGGCGTTTGGTTTCTCCAATGTAACTACTACCACAGAGGCAACTTAGTTTGTAGACACCAGGGTATTGTATGTCCGGAATCACATCTTTTCTAGACGGAACCAGATCACGGATTTTATGTAATGTGTTGAAACGGACCTGGATGTTGTGTTTATTCAAGATTTTGGAGATCTTTTTTGTGATCCCCGCAATGTAGGGTAAAGTGATGGTTTTGAAAGGCTCCTCACTCTGTCTACAGGAAAGCTACCCATACGGATGCTTATCTGAAACCGGATTCCCACCACCATCCATCACAGAAGAATTCTCTCATCAAGACTCTGTATCATAGAGCCCAATGCATATCCGACCAGGAACACATAGGCAGTGAACTCAAGCACGTACACCAAGCTCTTAAGGCTAATGGTTACTCCGACTATACAATCCGCAAAGCTATCACTCAAACCATGAAGAAGGACCCTCTTGAGGAGCCTTTCAAAACCATCAGCGAGCGCGATGCCGATTACACGCGTTGAATAAAAAGCAAGGGAAAAGTCCTTACTTACTAACAACTCCTTAATAACAACTCCTTACTTACTAACAACTCCTTACTTACTAACAATTCCTTACTAACAACTCCTCACTTACTAATAACTCCTATCATTCTCCTCACCGCCTTCCACTCAAGCCATCAACTCTCCTTACTACAGGTAAAGTGAAGTTCAATGATCATTTATTTCATTTATGCAATTTATTTATTTATTGTGTTTCTTCGTTTTTTTGTATGATTTTATGCATGTAATTACTGTGAACTTCGTGTAAAAATGCTTTATAATGAGAGATTTATCGTGTCTGGAACCACTTAATGTCATTTACATTCATTCTTATGGGGAAAATTAATTAGGTGCTTGAACAAATCGGTGTTCGAATGGCCTTCTGGAACGAATTAAGTTCGATCTCCGGGGTACCACTGTAGACATGTAAGTCATGTGTTATTCTAGATTTGAAGCTTTCGTGACTGCAAGGATCCATACTCTTTGGTTCTATTCGGTAAAGTCACGTAGGTAAAAATAAAATAACAAAAAATCACGACGTTTCGGCCACAACACAAGTGGCCTTCATCAGGTGAAGGGACTGGACTGTCCAGAGGATAGCGTTGGAGTGAAGACAGCAAGCCCAGGTCACGTCCTTTAAGCTGTGTGGGAGGAAACAAAAAAACGCCTTGACAAAGGAATTAGCATAACATGATGTACTGGACCGGCACGGTGTGGGGGGGGGGGGGTTTACATAATGTTGGTGTGAGGGGAAATAAGCTGCTGTGAAAGTTTGGGATACCACTACTTGTATAAAAATACTGTACCATTGAAAATTAGTTTAATGTTTGGTTTGATTTAGAACATCTTTCCAATGATTGCTTAATTTGAAACCATCCTCTCAGTTGAAATTGTGTCTGTGTTTGTAAATCTGAATTGCCTCGTGGACAAATCTCTGATAAAAACCCGTGGGTTTGCAGAGAACCTTGGTATCGGATAAAACTATATCGTGATCACCCACAGCGTTGTAACAGTGATCAGCTACGGCAGAAGAATTCGTTCTGCCGTGTTTCAAATCTGATTTGTGCTCGCGAATTCGGTCAGAGACATGTGGTTTCGTCTCCCCGATATATCAGTCACCACAGGTGCAGCTCAATTTGCAAACTCCGGGGTACTGTAAGTCAGGAACGACATCCTTCACGGATGGGATCAGGTCACGGATTTTGTGTACTGTATTGAACCGGACCAGGATCTTGTGTTTGTGTTATTGTGTATATATGAATTCCTCTGTGCATCGATACTGACGTGTAGATGGTGTGGATATTCTTTTTTTCTCTCTGCAGCTGTCGCTTCGTCTGCAGAATTGGTCTGATGGAGCAAAGGCACTCGGCGCGGCTCGGTGCAAAAAGGCAACAATGCGACCGGTGTGGATACAGCACGGATCGTCCTGAACATTTTACACAGCACCAGAGAACTCACACACAAGAGAAACCCTCCAAGTGCAGTGTGTATAGGAAGACGTTTGCACAATCATCTGCTCTTGTAAAACAGCAGACAACACACACGGGAGAGAAACCCTTCAAGTGCAGTGTGTGTGGGAAGGCGTTTGCACTTTCATCTATTCTTGTAGAACACCAGAGAACACACACGGCAGAGAAACCCTTCAAGTGCAGTGTGTGTGGGAAGGCATTTTCATATTCATCTGTTCTTGTGGCACACCAGAAAACACACACGGGAGAGAAACCCTTCAAGTGCAGTGTGTGTGGGAAGGCGTTTGCACAGTCATCTACTCTTGAAAGACACCAGAGAACACACACGGGAGAGAAACCCTTTAGGTGCAGTGTGTGTGGGAAGGCATTTGCACGTTCATATGCTCTTGTAGCACATCAGAGAACACACACGGGAGAGAAACCCTTCAAGTGCAGTGTGTGTGGGAAGGCGTTTGCACGGTCACCACATCTTCAAAGACACCAGACAACACACACGGGAGAGAAACCCTTCATGTGCATTGTGTGTGGGAAGGCGTTTGCACAGTCATCTACTCTTGTTGCACACCAGAGAACACACACAGGAGAGAAACCCTTAAGGTGCAGTGTGTGTGGGAAGGCATTTGCACAGTCATCTACTCTTGAAAGACACCAGACAACACACACGGGAGAGAAACCCTTCAAGTGCAGTGTGTGTGGGAAGGCGTTTGCACAGTCACCACATCTTCAAAGACACCAGACAACACACACGGGAGAGAAACCCTTCAAGTGCAGTGTGTGTGGGATGGCGTTTGCACGGTCACTACATCTTCAAAGACACCAGAGAACACACAAACATCAGAAGATCCACAAGGAGTGGAGTCTGAAATCAGCTTGTGAAAGTCAAAGTGCCGCAATGAGCCCATCCCTCATCAAACAAGAAATGGAAGAAAATCCCAGCTTGGACACTTTTAAAGGTATCAAGGTGAAATATGAAGAGGTGAAGGTGAAATGTGAAGAAGTGATGGTGAAGAGCGAAGAAGTGAGGGTAAAATGTGAAGATGAAGATTCGACTCCAAAGTCGGACCTTCACATCGATGGAGGCAACGTGAAGCAGGAGGAGAATTCTGACTATGAGGCAGAGCGAGGCAACTCCCAGCAGTTTGTGGAAGTGGAGGTGTGGGTGGACTTCCTCCGAGACAATACAAAGTCAAATGGAGACCCGGTAGATGTGTAAGCTTGAGACGATGTCGCTCCAATAGATGCACCTTTGTCACAGGCCTTTAATGACAAGATTGTGAACTTGAACACTCAATTCCTAGGTTCAACCTGCAGGGTAAGAGCGGCCAGTCTTTGTGGACCTGTGGGTTGGGTAGATCTCTAACCAGGAGCGAGAGCCAATAAGCTCCCAAGCGTTCACTATGTTCTAATAATTGCATTTAAATGGTGCTTGCTTAATCGCCTCAGCAATTTTGAGTTTTGTATCGTATCTCGTTTCAAACACTCGAAGAGCATCCCCAAGTAGCAGCTGCCCCTGTGTGACACAAGGTGGTGGCCCTGCACCGGCCTGCATGTGGACAAGAGCCTGTCAGTAGGGGGCGATCATTGACGTGGCATCTCCGTTGTGCAGTTTCTGGATGTTTGGAATTACCCCAATTTTGACCGTGACACCAACATGCAATGACCTGTGCGTTTTGAATGGCGCAATAGTATGTTGTACATATGTAGTGGTGTTACAGGACAAACGCACACCGGTTAGAGCTAGCACCCTTGGCTTACCCGCAGGGGGCTGTGGGCTTTGGATCCCCCGCGCCCCTCCCAACGGGTGGGGGCTGCGGGGTGTGCTGTGATCCCTCAGAACCCCGCCCCTCGGTGGGGAATTGGTATAAAAGACGGGGAGCCAGAGAGATAGGGGCAGTGTTCGCGAGCCCAAGTCAGAAAACCCAGTTGAAGACTGAAGACCGGCTAGATAGACCCTGGAACTCCTCTGACCCGCTGTCCTTCTCAGGGCCGGGCAGCGCAAGCCAGCGGTGTGACCCCAGAGCCTCAAAGTCGATGTCCTTCTAAGGGCCGGGTCTGTGTGGCTGGTGGTCGGGACCTGAGCCTTGGCTGGGCCAGGTCAGGTAGCTTCCCTTAGAGCCCTTAGCGGAGGACCTGGTGGATAGGCAGATAGCCTGGGGTATATTCCAGAATAGTACGGGTGAAGGGGCCGTTACCCCTTCAAGTATTGTATACGTTGCCCTGTGCTGAGTTACAATAAATAGTGTTGCCTCCATTTCGCCGTCTCTGTCGAGTTGAGAACCCACTACACATACACTGTTAATCGGACGGTGCGTATTATTTTAAATAACTTGTTAATGCGATGTAACCTGATGCAGTATATTTCAGTGCAGTAATTAAATTTGGTTAATTGACTGTCAATAATTGAGAATGAATGCTTGTCTGATTGTTTGCGTACATGTAACATTGTCTATAAGGGTCAAACATTGAATAAGTGATGTTAGGACAAAGTGTGTTTTGGAAGTAACCTGTACAGATAACTCAGGTGAGACCCGTTGTGCTTGTGATACAGGTCAAAGGGTATTTTTGTGTTTGCAGGAAGCATCTGCCTCTGCAGCAACTCATTGTCTTTGAAACAGGGAGCACACTCGGAGCATTCATCAATTACAAGGCATACCACTTAAAAGATACACGTAGAGGAGATACATTCTCTACAACACGGATTATAATTTTGTATTACGTGTTGACGTAGATTTTGTCTAATTAGGACTAGAAATGCGCCTTGCTGATTACGTCTGGATGTTCGAAACCATCGGTTGAAGCAAACCCAGCTGCTGTTGAGAGGCTGTGCACCAATGAGGGTCAACAGGTGGCTTGCACTGAATCAATGATGCACTCTCAGAAGGCTGTGCTAGGTTTAGTTTGTGTAAAACATTCCTTTTTTTCGTGGAGAGATCGATAAATGAAAGATGTCGTGTCTGCTGATCTGCTTCATAGCAAGGAGATAATTTTAAGAGCACATTTGAAATGGATTTTGGTTCGGATTTGTATTTGGTTATAAGGCAGAGCACATCGAGTAGATGCATTCTCCACAACATCACTCATTGGAATTTTGCATGACGTCTTATATGTTGGCGAACTAGGACAAGAAATGCCCCTTGCCGATTAACGTCTGGATGTTGACAACCAAGGGTTGAAGCAAGCCGGACCGCCTGCGGAGCCCCTCACAACCATTTACGGCCTTGGGCCAGGAAAGTCACCAAAAAAATTGCCCACGAACGACGCATTCACTCAAGCTCCCGGTGCTCAGTTTTGAAGTTTTAAAATGAAACGACTTTGAATTGTATTATTTTTTTGAATTAGCTTATATCATTTTACATCTGGAAGGCTTAATTGAAAACGACATTTCGTGTGAATTTTCTCTCGTCGTGAAGTAGATGGCCTTGCCGGGGATTCGGTTCGATGCGGACGTTCACCTGGTTGGGATCTCGGGATCGAGATGAGGCGACACAGAGCTGGCCGTGCGAGAAGACCGCCGTCTGCAGATCGATTCCACCGCGATCGAACGTCTGTCCCTGCGCCTCCGTCGTTCATGCAGGTGGCTAGTAGGTTTACAGCGCCCCCTGCATGAAAACGACGGAAAGTGCAGCGTTCGTCACAGACAGATGAAGTTGTGCGCTTATATAAAAGAGTTTAGCCAGTGGGTTTTCAAAGTACCTTCGTCTTACAGAAATCAATTTCGCGTGATCCCACCGCATTAAAACGATGCTCAGCTGAGCGGGGCGAGCCACGGGGGGGGGGGGGGAGGGGGGGTCACCTTATCTTTATCACGTGCCGTAGCTCACGTGACTATGGATGTTTTCGCCTGAGGACGACTGCTCGTGTTGCGATCGAAACGTGATTTTTTTTCTACCTACGTGACTTTACCGAAAGAACAAAAGAGTCTGAAAGACGTCGTGTCTGCTGATCTTGTTCATATCTGTTCACATTGATATCCCACATTGCTTACACGTACACACCACACAATGAAATAAATAGAAACAAGAACGACTTCCTGGGATGGGCAAAGATTGAGGAATCTCTTTCAATGGAGCGAGTTAAGTTTGTTCGGTTCAACATCTCTCTGTCCTAGATTTAAAGCTTTCGTGACTGCAAGGATCCATACTCTTTGGTTCTATTGGGTAAAGTCACGTAGGTAAAAAATAAAATAACAAAAAAAATCACGACGTTTCGGCCACAACACAAGCGGCCTTCATCAGGTGAAGGGACGAGACTGTCTGGAGGACAGCGCTGGAGTGAAAAAAGCCACGCTCAGATCACGACCTTTAAGCTGTGTGAGAAGAAACAAAGCGCCTTGACAAAGGAATTAGCATAGAATTTAGCATTGAAATGGCTGAGTGATTAGCTTGTGACTGGTCACAGAAATGGCTATTTTAAAGCATACACATCCGCAAAGGCACCCCTTGACAAAGGAATTAGCATAGAATTTAGCATTGAAATAGCTAAGTTAAAGTATACACATCCGCAGAGGCACCCCTTGACAAAGGAATTAGCATAGAATTTAGCATTGAAATAGCTGAGTCATTAGCTTGTAACTGGTCACAGAAATAGCTATGTTAAATTCAGAGCATATACATTCACCGAGGCACCTAGTACAAATCAAACAGGATAATTTAGCGAAACACAACCCTGTGTGCGAGCAAACAAGGTGTCCTGGCAAATAAATTAGAATAAAAATTAGCATTTGATGGACCGATTTTAGAAAAGAGGTGGTGTACGTGCCGGTGGACTTGCCGTTTGGCGCGGGGGGGGGGGGGAGGGGGAGATTACCTATTGATAGTGTGAAATGGGAATTTATAAGAGCTGCGAAAGTTTGGGGTACCACTACTTGAAAAATATACTGTACCATTGAAATTAGTTTAATGTTTAGTTCGATTTAGAACATCTTTCCAATGGTTGCTTAATTTGAAACCATCTTCTTGGTTGAAATTGTCTGTGTTTGTAGATCTGAATTGCCTCGTGAACAAATCTCTGATAAAAACCTGTGGGTTTGCAAAGAACCTTGGTATCGGAGAAAATTATATCGTGATCACCCACAGCGTTGTAACAGTGATCAGCCACGGCAGAAGAATTCGTTTTGCCGTGTTTCAAATCTCATTTGTGCTCGCGAATTCGGTCAGAGACATGTCGCTTTGTCTCCCCGATATAGCAATCACCGCAGGTACAACTCAATTTGTAAACCCCGGGGTACTGTAAGTCAGGAATGACATCCTTCACGGATGGGATCAGATCACGAATTTTGTGTACTGTATTGAACCGGACCTGGATCTTGTGTTTGTTTAGAATTTTGGAAATCTTTTTAGTAACGCCTGCTATATATGGTAGTGTGATGGTTTTGACCGGAGTATCAAGTGGTTGTTTCTGTATGGAGGGAGAAACAGCTTGGCGGATGGTACTGTCAGAGTAACCATTCCTTTTGAGGGCCAGGTGTACATGTTTTAATTCACTGGTCAGGTGGTGTTGGCCCGAAATGCAATGAGCCCTATGGTATAAAGTTTTAATGAGAGAATTCTTTTGGGCTGGGTGGTGGTGGGAATCAGGTTTCAAGTAGGAATCTGTGTGGGTGGGTTTCCTGTAGACAGAATGCCCCAATGAGCCATCAGGTCTCCTCTCAAACAGAACATCTAAGAATGGTAGCTTGCCATCTTTCTCCACTTCCATGGTGAATTTGATGGCGGGATGTCTGGAATTGATGTGGTGTAGGAAAAGGTTCAGAGCTGGGAGGCCATGTGGCCAAATGACGAAAGTGTCATCCACATATCTCTTCCACAGGGAAGGTCTGAGGGTGGAAGTCTGGATGGCGTCTGATTCAAATTTCTCCATGAAAATATTGGCTATCACTGGTGACAAGGGGGATCCCATGGGGGTACCCTCATTTTGTTTGTAGAAGGAGCCATTCCAAGTAAAGTAGGTATTGTTGAGGCAGTGCCTAACCAGTGCAGGTGTGTTGGGATCTAGTCCATGTTGGACCAAATTTTCAATTATATTAATGCTATCAGGTACTGGGGCCTTGGTGAACAAAGAGACCACATCGAAGCTGACAAGGATATCGTCAGGGGACAGTACAACGTCTTTGACCATAGAGACCAATTGGGCTGAGTTAAGTACTGCTGAGGCAGTCTTGCCAGTGAAAGGCAGCAAGGTATCTAACAGAAAACGGGCTAGTCTATAGGTAGGGGAGTTGATCGTGGATACGATGGGTCGAAGTGGGGTGCCTTCTTTATGAATCTTGGGAAGACCATAGAATCTAGGGAGTCTTGCAGCAGGTTATAGGGAGGGACGTTTAGTTGGGTCGATTAGGGAGGTCGAACTTGTGATGATCTTGTTGGTTTTTATCGCTAGGCTATTAGTAGGGTCATTTTTTTAATTTTTGAGTAACTTCCATCGTTGAGCAGATTCTGGATTTTGTTGTTGTATGAATCTTTATCCATAATAACAGTAGCGTTGCCTTTATCGGCTGAGAGGATGACTATATCACTTCTGTTTTTTAAATTCGCGAGTTCAGAGTGTTCATTTTTGCTGATGTTACTAATAGGTTTCTTAGCATTCTTAAGAATAGTGGCTATTTCAGCTCTCGCAACGTCTGCTTGGATGTGTCCTATGCCTTTGAGGGCTACATCGACCTGAGAGATGATATCATCTACTGGTATGTGTTTTGGGGTGACAGCTAAATTTAGTCCCCTAGCCAGTACTGTTTTCAGATTGTCCGAAATCGGGGTGCTACTCTGATTAATGACGATTTTGTTAACATCTAGTTTTGTTATATGTGGAACTGGGTTCTTCTTTGATAGGTGGTTGAATTTAGAAATCAGGTTAGCTTTACATTTGACTGACAGTGACTCAGCAGAAGAAGCAGTCATGTTGTCTACGTGATTCCAATCAGAAGGTGACATTTTTTGTGTTAACATTAAATGAGCTTGTAGGAGAGTCCTGTCTAAAGTATCGAGTTCAAATCGGAGTAGCCTTATCCTCTCTGAGATTATAGATAGGCTGGCCTTAAGCAGAATCTGTTTAGAATTCGGAGAAGATACAGCAGCAGAAGTGAGTGTGAAAGCGATGGGTATTACCTTGTGATCGCGGCATCTTTTGAGGAAGGTCAGCGTCTCGATGAGCTGTGACTTCTTGTCCCGTTGTCTGTTAAAAGCTCTAACAGATAGGTGAAAGCCCTCCCCATAGAGGTTATCAATTCTAGATTTAAAGCTTTCGTCACTGCAAGGATCCATACTCTTTGGTTCTATTGGGTAAAGTCACGTAGGTAAAAAATAAAATAACAAAATAAATCACGACGTTTCGGCCACAACACAAGCGGCCTTCATCAGGTGAAGGGACGAGACTGTCTGGAGGACAGCGCTGGAGTGAAAAAAGCCACGCTCAGATCACGACCTTTAAGCTGTGTGAGAAGAAACAAAGCGCCTTGACAAAGGAATTAGCATAGAATTTAGCATTGAAATAGCTAAGTTAAAGTATACACATCCGCAGAGGCACCCCTTGACAAAGGAATTAGCATAGAATTTAGCATTGAAATAGCTGAGTCATTAGCTTGTAACTGGTCACAGAAATAGCTATGTTAAAGTCAGAGCATATACATTCACCGAGGCACCTAGTACAAATCAAACAGGAGAATTTAGCGAAACACAACCCTGTGTGCGAGCAAACAAGGTGTCCTGACAAATAAATTAGCATAAAAATTAGCATTTGATTGGCCGATTTTGGAAAAGAGGTGGTGTACGTGCCGGTGGACTTGCCGTTTGGCGCGGGGGGGGGGGGGAGGAGGGGGAGTTTACCTATTGATGGCGTGAAAAGGGAATTTATAAGAGCTGCGAAAGTTTGGGGTACCACTACTTGAAAAATATACTGTACCATTGAAATTAGTTTAATGTTTAGTTCGATTTAGAACATCTTTCCAATGGTTGCTTAATTTGAAACCATCTTCTCGGTTGAAATTGTGTCTGTGTTTGTAGATCTGAATTGCCTCGTGAACAAATCTCTGATAAAAGCCGTGGGTTTGCAAAGAACCTTGGTATCGGAGAAAATTATATCGTGATCACCCACGGCGTTGTAACAGTGATCAGCCACGGCAGAAGAATTCGTTTTGCCGTGTTTCAAATCTGATTTGTGCTCGCGAATTCGGTCAGAGACATGTCGCTTTGTCTCCCCGATATAGCAATCACCGCAGGTACAACTCAATTTGTAAACCCCGGGGTACTGTAAGTCAGGAATGACATCCTTCACGGATGGGATCAGATCACGAATTTTGTGTACTGTATTGAACCGGACCTGG